CTACGAGAATTGAGCCTAGCCATTAGTAAGGATAGAATGAAAGATGACTACAAGGCCATGAATAACTACCCGAGGAGATACAATTATCTACTATTTGAAATGGTTAGGCAAGGGAAGATATTTAGAGTCCGATTGAACTGCTAGACAATTTACTTCTTTTGCTTGTATTTTATTTTCCATTATATAAACCTTTTCTTTATTCATATAAAAGAAAGATGTACTTTGAACTAATTTATTTTATTTTCCATAATATAAACCTTTTCTTTATTCATATAAAAGAAAGATGTACTTTGAACTAATTTAGGCCTTCATGCTCGTCATTTTGGATATTCAATTAATGAAAGCTTTGACATCTTTCCGTATATGGTATGGTTTATTATGCTTATGAAATCTCATCCGATAAGTTGGACTAATGAGCCTTATTTAAAATCTTATTAATGAATGAAATCTAATTTTGCTTTCCAATGGAGTGACCCTATCTAATTGAAATTTTATGAGGCTGGATGGTTACTCCGATGCTTGAACTAAAGAAAGAAATTCAAAGGTTACTAATGTGAAAAATCGCATCTTTAAACCAACCGAAGTAATTTTGTTAGTGAAAGAATTAAAAAAAAAAAAAAAGATGAGCTCTTTTGTCACCTCCCATAAATGACTACTTTATATCCAGTTTCAATAGTTATCACTTATGTCAATATGTTATTTATGTGCAATGTTTTGTTTCTTTTCTTGTCTATGCATACGTATAAGTCCTACTATCAAAATCACACTTTATCTAGTAATCAATAAAACAAGGCTATGAGTGAAAATGGAAAATGGAGAAAGAGCCCAACTAGAACGAGCTCATTTGTAAGAGATAGAGGTGTTGTAAGAGGAAGTTGCAAGACTTTTTATCCTACTTAAAGAATGCAAGCTTCGACTTATTTAGGGCTCCCTTAAATCTTGAAAGAGCTTAATCATCTTTTATCCTTGAAGCACCTTTCGTAATCTTTCGACCCACTCCTCGACTTATAGCTTAGATACCCTAGTTCTTCATGCTTCATCGAGAAAACACCATTGCTTCCAATCTAGCTAATACATCAATGCCTAAGGACATGCTTGAACTAGTTCCTTAAAAAAACTCCTCGCTCCTATTTTGCTACCGCCACATATGTTTTAGACCCAAACTATAACATTCCCGACCTATGACTTAAATAAAATGAGGATATTACCGTCATGTCGCACGGTGACTATTAGATACAAGGCTCTATGTCTTCCCTATGGTATTATTAGGTATGGTCTTTTGCTATGGAAGCTCGTTGATTAGTTAATAGGTCCAACTTTTCTTATAAATTTCAGCCCAAAATGTACTATAAAAATTTTTTATTTTAACATTTTATTTTAATTGTTTAGATTGAAATAATTGGATCCGGGTCTCTCAATTTTGTCAATATTTTTTTATAAATAAGAATAAATTCATCTAACCAGGTAACCATTACTCGATAGTCTAATCTTTTTCTTTTATTAATTATCATCCATTATAAAATCATTAAACCATTTATTTTTATTCTTTCTTTATTATTTTTATGTTTATTTAATTATTCATATTATCTTCAACAATAGTATGCGAGTATTGAATTAAAAGATATTATAACGACACACTACTATATTATTACAAAACTAACATGTGCAAAATTAGTTGAAGTGCAACATACTTTTCTTTTTACATGATAACCAGTTTAGTACCACACTACATATCAAAATTGGTTTTATTTATTTACAAGTCTACTTTCTTTTTTACCGACTTACAATTTACTTATTCATTATCCAGACTATCATATGTAATAAGGTAGCCATACCCAATACATAAACCAAAATACCGAGAACTAATAGCATAATGACATAAAGTAGGTCCAGCTTGCAGTTGCAAGTATGATACACCCAATGGAAGGACAAAGGAGTACCTTTAGTACTAAGCTCCATTGAAAACATAGCTTTCAATTTTTTTCTTCACCCCTATGTCAAAAGAATTGGGTGAGCTAATGCTCGTAAGTTAATCATGCATGCTATGCATATATGCAAATGAAATACACTAGAAAATATTTGTCATGTCTTTTCGAAAACCTTTTTCTTTCTATGAAATCCTTTCCCTATTCATTCAAAAAGTCTTTTCTATATTCGGATGCATCCCGCCGAATGTAAGTCGTGTACACGTTTGTACATGTTCAACCCTTAATTCCTTGAGCATTTCTCCTATTGGGGCCATTATCGATTCCCGCAATATTTGAACCCATGACCGGTTTTCTTGACGAGAAATGTCATTTCCTGTCACTTGGAGCCATTACCAATCCCCTCAATGAAGAAATTCTTTAGCCAAAGCCATTACCAATTCCCTTGATGAAGGAAATGTCAAGGATCATGAAAACCATGAAGACCGTGAAAGCCATGAAAAACATGAAAACCTTTTCCTTTTCCTTTGAAAAATCATGATTTAGAATGCATATTCATTTACGTGTAAATGCATAAATTCGTGAATCAATGTAATGCATGTAATAAATGAGTGTGCATTTATGTAATGAAATTGCATACCTTAACTTATAAAATGCACATCGAAATCCATTACCTTTCAATCCATCACAATTTATTCATGACACACAATCCAAACAAATGGAACATGGAACATTTAACACAAGTGCACCATATCACATCACATTTAGCAATATTAATCAATCAATAAGACATTGCATCTATACTCTAGAATCTCTACACCAATACTATTTTTATGTTCCTAGTTCCTTCAATACTAGGTGGTAACTTCGAATTCAATAATAACTCGCATTCTCGGAACAAATCATAAATACGATTCAAATCTAAATTTTTTCGGAGTCCCGTCCGATGTCGGGTAATGACGAGAGAGAGAGAGAGCAATTTTAATGTCCAACTTTTGATTTTTTTTTCTCGTTTCAATACTCAATGATAAATTCTTCTATTTCAATGCTCGTTCTTCTATTCTAATGCTCAATTCTTGAATATTTTTCTAATTTGTTTTTTCATGTTTGAGTGTCTAAAGTCATATGAGAGTATGAAATACTTACATATCCGTGATAAACTACTATGTGGTAGTTCATCCTAGATATGTAAGTATTTTATATTCTTAAGTGACTATAGACACTAAAACGAAAAAAAAAAATCAAAATTTGGGTATTCAAATTAAAAAAATATATCGGTTGGACATTGAAATAGAAAAAATATCAAAAGTTGGGCACCAAAATTACAGCTTTTTTCTAAATTATAATAAAAGTGAAATTTAATAAATTAAAAAAAATAAAAAGGCAAAGTCACTAAAATATTTTAATAATATCTAAACAAGAAAAAAAAATGATGAAAATATTCAAATTCAAATGAACTTTAAATGACTATATATATATACATATGGTTTATTTAATTTTATTCTAGAAATAAATTTGGACATGTTTTTTTATTTTTTTTATAACTCAAGTAAATTGATAATACCAAGCTGTCCGTGAGGACTACAAGATGAGGCAATCCAAAAACTAGATATATGCTAATATTATAGATGGAATAAAAAAAAATTGATTTAATTCAAATTAAATAAAATTAGCATATTTTGCATGTTGATTTTTCGCTTTTTTTTTCTTTTTTAAAATGAATTAAATGTATAAAAAATTTGTTTATTGACTTTTATGTGATGTTGGGGTATTTAATAATTTAAATGGTCAAACTTTAAAAAAAAAAATCAAGTGTTTTTTTTTTACTTTCTTATTAATTAAAATGCATATTAATTATAGTTTCCTTTCTATTTGTTTGTATTGTTAAAGTAAATTTGCTTTCAAAATAAAATTTTGTCTCTATATATCTTTAAATGAATTTCGTAAGAAATATTTTTTGGAGAATTAATTGATAAATCATCAATGCTTTTGGAGAAAAAAAATTGAAGTTTACACAAAAATGTGTTTCTTTTTTTCCGTTAGTTTTGCTAACGAAGATGGATGGAAGGGTTTTATTGATCAATAGTTAAAATATTAAGAGAATAGTTGATAGAGAATAAACATTTGAATAGAAATTGATATGACTCATACACTTCAAAACAAATTGCAATTAACCCATATTAATGAGCAAAATTCAAATTATTTAAGAACTGTATCTGGGTGATATTAGATTATTTTAAACTACAACATTGATGAATCAATAGGAGTAAAAGAAAATATATATGGTTTACCCATTTTAATTTTCTACCTAGCCTTGGATTAATTGAAACATCCATTTACATATAGGTTACAACTTAGTTGGCATGTTTGGACATGAGTGTCCTTACCAAATTACTAAATGTAAATAATAGACTTACCATTATATATTCCTTAAATACCTAATTTTTCTCCAAATTAGTGGCTCTAATTTATATTAGGTTTTACCACTTACTTTCAGCGGCAAAACAGGAACTCAAACCCCCATATTTTAGCTAACCATAACTATAATTACCCTATGTTATCATATTGTCCATTTTGATATTCTTCTCTACCCTCATTGCAGCAGCAGAGATTCAAATATCTCTCATCTGAGCCTTGTCTGTCCCTTCTCAAGGCACCGTTTGGCGACAAACCTTAAACTTTGTGCGCTTCCTTGAATTGTCAGGTATGTCGAGAAATTCGAGCCTTTCTATCAAAGTCAAGAGTTCGTGCTCTCCATTTCTTGCTGTTTGATTTTTCTCCTTTTAAATTCATATGAGATTGACCTCGTTGTCATAAAATGTATATTCGCATCACGCAATTGCAATCGTATTACGCAATTAACCTTTTAGTTCAGTTTTAGATTTTCAAAGGGACATTGATCAAGAATTTGATCTTTAGTTACCAAATAATCAAGAACTGGTTCATATAATCCAAATTATGATATGCGTACGCACTACCACAGGATATATTACATTTTTTGGCATGCAAATATACAACAAATATTTTGATTAATGCTACGTACTTGCATGACAGAAAAGCTTGAAAAGATCAAAGATGAGTAATACGAGCAATAACGTAGGGGAGGAGAAAGCCTCAAAAATTGATGCAAAGCAAAGCGTAACCACTGAAATATTGCTACCAACAATTGACATGGAAGCACTCAAGAAGAATTCACCGTTACACGATTCTGGTAATTCACCAAGGTTACAGAGGGCCTTAACGAAACCACGTAGCACTGAAAGGTGGAACTGTCTTTGCTCCCCAACCACACATGCTGGTTCATTTAGGTGCCGCTTCCACAGAAGCTCAGGCATGATTCGTGGAGGATCCATCGGCTCCAACCTCTCCGAGTTGGCTGCTAAATCACGTACTATTAGCGACCTGGTTTAGAATGTGATTATTAGAATGCGACTACCCGAAAGCTTCTTTGCAAATTTATTTATGCGTATATATATTACTAAATATCATCTATCAATGGCATGTTGATCAGCATTAAATTTGATCAATTCCCTCGTATACCCATAATGTTTCTTATGGAGATGTATTTTAAGTTGTTTTATGTATGAAATAACATGTGCAATTATTTCCTACTCCATGTGCCATGTAGTTTACATATGTTGCTTCTTATTAATCTATGAGTAATGTTGCACATCACAAATTCATGAGTAATCTTATATTTTAGGAATACGCCTAATAATTCCTCGTACACTCACACCGTCACACATGAATGAATTGTCAGTAATTTTTAAATATTTGCGACAAACGCTATTTGTCAGTACACGACAATTTATTATGAGAATATTAATCTTGGAAGGCTAATCAGGTAAAAATTATTTTGAATTGTTGTTAAATAGGAAATTAATCTTTCTAAGTTCTCAAAAATCACACAAAATGTTTTTGGAGACTCAACTTGTCTACTCTTTTTATTGATACTATTACTGAATTTATACAGGAAAAATTAACAATCAATCCCAAAAAATACTCAAAATTTGACAATAATAAAATATAAAAATCTAGTACCAATAAAATTCCAAAAAAAAAAAAAAAAGCAAATCAAATTCAAAAATTCAAAGTCTTGAATTATTCAAACTCTGCTCGCTGTAACCTTGATCTGTTGCACTTCTTTTGTAGCAAAATATGCAGACTTCTTCACTCGTCTTCACCTATTTTGCTACAAACTCCAAGCTTCGATCCTTCTAAACTCTTCAAACTTAATCTTTGAAAAAGCCTTGGTTGCGCATCAATTCTTGAGGGCATCAAAGCAATTTCCTTGCTTTTTGGTTCTCTAATGAAATAAAATTTGATCTTAACATGTTTGGCTCTGCCATGAAACATAGGATTACTAGAGATAGCTATAACACCCTGATTGTCAACAAAAAATATTTGTTGCTTCAAATCTGATAACAACTTCCTCGGCCATAGAGCTTGATTTACAACAACAATAACTAGAGCATATTCTACTTCTATTATGGATTGAGCAACAATATCTTGCTTCTTAGAATTCCAAGAAAAAAAAAACCCTTAAGTACTTCTTATATCATCACATGATCCTACCCAATCACCATCAGCATAACCAAGTGATTTCAACTTTTCTAACTTCTCAAACATAATACCAAAATCAATTGTGCCTTTAATGTATCTAAGCACTCTTTTTGCAGCTTTAAAATGCAACTCACTTGGACAATTCATGAATCTTGATAACTTACAACAAACATAATGTCGAACTTGTTGCGGGAAGATAAATTAAACAACCTATAAGGTTTTTGTATAATCCTTCATCAACCTTCTCAAGCACCATCATCTTTACTCAACTTTTCGCTTTACATTAGAAGAGTGCTTATTGACTTGCAATGCTCCATGTTGAATTTCCTAAGCATCTTTTTTGCATATTTTTGTTATTCAATGAAGATTTCATGATGTGATTGTCATATGTCCATGCCAAGAAAGAATGACATCTCTCCTAAGTATGTTTTATCAAACACTTTCATCATCTACTCCTTAATTTGTTATACCAAAGCTAAGTGCTTCTTGTTACAAGTAGGTCATCAACATAAAGTGAAATAAAATTTTTCGTTCACTTGTCTTTATATATAGTTGATTCACCGAAACTCTTATTGAAACCAACCTTCGGTAGATAATCATCAATTCTCTTGTACCAAGCTTTTAGAACTCGTTTCAATCCATATAAGGCCTTTTTGAGTAAGTACACCTTATCTCTTTTTCCTTTACAATAAAACCTTCAGAGTTGCTCAACAAATATTTCTTCCTATAGATAGCCATATAAAAATGTAGATTTGATGTCTAGCTAAAATATTTTCCCCTCCTCTTGAACTACAAGTGCCAAGAGCATTTGAATTGTATCAAGCCTATCAATTGGTGCAAATGTTTCGAGAATCCACTCTAAATTATTGTGCATATCCCTTGACCACCAATCTAGCTTTATGCTTATTTATAGTTTCATTGGTATTCAATTTATTTTTGAACACCCACTTTACTCTCATGGTCTTCTTGTGACTTGGTCTATCCATCAATGTCCAAGTTTGATTCTTCTCAATCATCCTAAGCTCCTTTTTCATTGTTGTAACCCACTTTAGATCATTTACAGCATCTATATAACCTATGGGCTCAAGCATATTAATATTATACATTTTATAAATATTAGAAAGTAATCTAATACCTCCCGTATGCCTTTTGTAAGAGTAATGATTGAGATCAATAGAATCATCAATCTCATCATTTTAGCATTTAATAGGATCAACATTCTTAGTTTCTTTATGCTTTGCTTTTAACTTGTCCCAACTCTATACTATAGATTCATCAAACTTGACATCTCTACTAACAATAACCTTTTTAGTCGGAGGTTGATAGACCTTATAGCCTTTAGTGATGTTGATGTAACCTATAAGAATCCCAACCTCAACCTTCGATCTATTTTGTCTCTCTTCACATTAAGAATATGTGTGTAACGGATGGAACCAAATACCTTCATATTCTCGCACGAGAGGGCCTATAATCATTTCAAGCTTTAAATGGTGTTTTGTTCTTTAGCTTTTTTGTTTGCAATCTATTAAGCAAATATACTATAGTATTAACAACTTCAATCTAGAATTTTTTAAAAGCTTTTTCTCGAACAAAAGACATCTAGACATCTTCATCATTATTCTATTTTTTTGCTCACTCATTCAATTTTGTTGTGGAGTGTAAGTTGTTGTCAATCGATGATCAATTCTTATATCTTTATAGAACTTATTGAGTTTTTCAAAAGTACACCTGGTTTTATTATCCGATCTAATCACCTTTAGTTTATGACCACTTTGATTCTTAGTCCAAATTTTAAATTTTCAAAAAACATCGACTACTTCTAATTTTTATTTAAAAAAATATATCCAACACATTCTGTAAAAATCATCAATGGATACAATGTAATACTTGCTACCATTTAAAGATCGTATTTTTATTAGACTACATATATCTATATGTATCGATCACGACTTCTTTATTGCTCTCTAACTCATATGTTGTAGAAACGACAATCTTGCTAGTTTTCCAAATAAACACACCTTACAAATGCTAGTTATATCCTTTATAATAAGCAAATCCTATATAAGCTCATTTTTTAACAAATGGGTGAGAGTAAAGTAATGAAAATTCTCGAACCTTTTATGCCAAATCTAAGTTTGATCATTAATATTGGAATATGCATAAGAATCTAACTTAATCCAATCTAGTAAGAAGCTTTTTCCTTTAATTTTTACTGAAATCAACTCAGTTCAAGAATCACATAAACTTTCTTTGAACACCACAGAATATCCTTTTTCCAAGAGATGTCCAAGACTCAATAGGTTTTGATCAATGTTAGGTACAAATAAAATATTAGAAATAATTTTTATACATGAGCTTGATTTAATGGCCACATCCTTTATGCCTTGGACTTCAATATACTCTTCATTCTGGATTTTGACCTTAGAAGTATGGGTTCTATCAATTTCCTTCAACATAAACTCATCATAAGTCATGGTGAGTAAAACAGCTTATTGATTAGTCATGTTTCATTAGATTTATCGCTTGTAAAGTAGGTTGCTACAAATAGTTACTCCTCTTATTGTTAATTTGCCATTTGAGATTGTTGCCCTTCTTATTGCTTGTTCTTATAGAAACTTTAAATGTGCCTTTTCCGGTTACAAGATCGACATAAAATATCAATTTTAAACCAATAGTGCCAAGACTAATATGTTGTCTTCTTGCAATGCTTATAAGTTTGATACTTTTTATCTCTTTCTTTTTTATTTTCACTCTCCTTTTCATGTTTCTTAAATACTACATCTTGTATTTGTTGTTTGACTAAGATTGCTCTTTGTCTCTTACTTAAAAAGCACCTTCGATGAATCGTCTTTTGTTTGATTACTCTACATTGATCTTGAAGCTGGAAAGGAATTCATCAACTCAAGTAAAGAAATTTATGTAAGATCATTTGAATCTTTAAGAGATGATATCTTAGCTTCAAATCTCTATAACGTACTTACTAGCACATTCTTTATAACTGCATCGTTAGGTAATGCTTCACCGCTTAATTTGATGTTGTTAACTATTCAAAGGAGTCTATCGAATACTCATTTATGATTTCTATTTCTTTCAATTTCAGAAGCTTAAATTCCCTCATAATAGTTAAATTGTGTATATGCCATGTTCTATCATTCCCCCGAAATACTTCCTTGAGTATATCATATGCTTACTTTGTGGTTTCACAAGCCACAATTCGGTGAAAACTTCATCCGTCATAGTCGAGTAAATGCAAGTCTAGGCCTTCGATCTTTGCTTTTTTTTCCTTTTTAATCTTTGATTTTTTCCATCATTAGATCTTGAGGCAATATTTCACTATAAGAAAATTGATAGTTTGAGACAGCTTTTAGTGATGGTAATTAAATTCGTCACTAAAACCATGAATTATCGATGGTTTTCAATAAACACTAGCCAATTTTGTGTCAAATATTGGTTTTTAGTGACATTTTTCAACCGTCGCAAAGTCATACCAATTATATGATTTTTAGCGATCATTTTAACTAATCTATTGCTAAAAATCCTATTTTTAATGAATTAACAAGAGTTTTAACATTCTAAAAAAATAGGTTTTTAGTTATAGTTTTATGAAAACCGTTGCTAAAAAACCCTCTTTTGGGTGAGTTTAGCAATGGTTTTTAAAAACTCGTTGCTAAAATCCTTATGCTAAACATTGATATTAGCAACGGTTTTATGAAAATTGTTGCTAATTTATTACCCTTGGGGAAACAAAAATTTCAAAAAAAAAAAAAAAACTTTTAGTGATGGACTAGTCGCTAAAACTTAAAATCCCTAAATAGCTACTACTCAAAAAAATTTCCCATTTCTTCTTC